GGTAAAACCAGGTTTAAATAATTAAACAATGTTGTGTTCGCTGAACACATATTACATTGAAAGGAATTTGTTTTTAAAAATCAGGAGTGCTCTAATCTGATCTTCCACTTAATTCAAAATTTTGCTTTGTTTTCTCCCACCTCTTCCCATTTTTGGTGGAGTAATATTTGGCCTACAAATTGAAAACCTTGATCATCACAACCACAAGTTAATATAATGCTTATGCCTGGCGCCAAGGCCTACAACTCCATCCAAAACGAGAGGTTCAACGGCTATATCTAGACCCAAACAATCATATTCTTGTTCTACTTAGAACATCTCGACATGCAAACCTATAAAATTTTGTTTTAGTTTCACAAAAAACAGGCCAGTTGTTTTACACTTTTGCTAGAATCAATGGCAAATGGTGAAATATTGTTTCTCCCTCGTAACCTCGTTTGGAGTTGAAAAGAGATTTTCGGCTTCTAGTTTTTTCCTCATCATATCAAGCTTTTGATAAATGACACGACATTAAGCATAGCAAAGTCCAAATTTGTTGAACCCCAACTAAGGGAAAAATGCACCACAGCCTCCTATGGTTTCAAAAAGGAGCTTCAACACCCCCTGTGGTTTTAAAAGTAACTTCTAATATACCTCTAGTTTGTAAAAGGTGCACATGCACCCCATTTTGATATTCACGCGCTAGCATGCGAATGGTGCTCTCTTTTTTAAAACATTTTATGTAATATAGGGGAAAAGTATTTATCTTGACCCATCTCCTGAACACTCATGGCAGAAGCAACCCATTATGCTAGATGAAATTATTTGGAGAAAAAATCAAAGCAAAAACAAAATAAGAAAATCATGGTACAAATATTATTCACTCAGTATCTATGCTAATATACATCCGTTTTATAAAACATTTCATAGAACATTATTCACTCAACATCAAGTGCCAATATACATCAGATCAATTCAAAAAAAAATCACCACAGAAGAATTATGCACCAAAATAATTTCATTTCATAGAGCATGATAATTCAACGAGTACTTTCACAATGTGAACATCAACACCAAATTTTAAAAGGTAAAAAAGTTGTTCTTAAAAAGACATCATAAAGTACATAATAAAATCCAGTAATCAACCAAGATCCAATAATGCCATCATGTTTGCCCATGGTTTAGAGATAAGTTCCTCTCCAGTGGTAGACCTCTTGTAGCTTGCTGTAATTTCATATATAATAAATATAATTAACTCGATTTTAGAAATTCAGTAAAGACTTCATCAAAATATAAAAATCAGTAAAGACATTATCAATGAATGGAATTTTTTCACCTGTGAAGGCATGGTGCCATTAGTGATGATGTTCTCACATAAAGTTCTTTTGCCTTGTGCTTCAGTTTCTTTATTATTTTTACTTGGTCTGCCCCTTTTTCTTGGCTTAATAGAATTTTGAGCGTTCAGTTCCTTCTTACAAGACCTCTTGTTATGACCTTGTTTACCACAATTTGCACATGTAACAGTCAATCCTTTCCTTGTTGACTTTCTCACATCCTCCTCTTCCTGTGCAGATTTTCTTTTGTTTTTCTTGGGTCTTCCAATCTTTCTTTTAACAACACAAGGTAGCAACGGTGTATACAACGTGTTGACATAGTTATGTGAACCTGGTACAGGGTGAATAACATTCCCATATGCCTTTTTATATGTGGCAACGTAGAAGTATTTGTCCACGTAGAGATCTTCATTATATCTGAACATGTGACACACGGCTAATGCATGCAAACATGGGACACCAGTGAGTTGATACTTCCTGCAAGTGCACTCCTTTGTACTGAACTTAACCACATGAGTGACATCGTCTTTCATCACCTGGAACTCTTCCAAACTAGCAGGCATTACACTCCAATTTACAGCATTGTCCATCATCTTCCTCATTTTTTCTCTTAATGTTAGGGCAAATCATACTTCTATTATATGCCTCAATTCCTATTTTCTTTACATTGATCCTACACATCAATTTGCTCCTAATATTCTCACACATGCTAATGATTGGAAGTCCTCTTGCTTCTAACAGATAACTATTACAAGATTCGGCTATATTATTTGTGAGTGCATCACACTTAACATGAGTTGGAAACATACATCTTGACCAATGCACAGCTGGAACTCCAGACAACCACTCAAACGCAGTTTGTTGTTCACTAATCTTTGGGTCAATCTCCTTAATCTCATTCATAACTCTGTTAAAACCCTCCTCGGTCGTGGAAGAAGCTGCTCTCCAGAATAGTTCTTTTAGCTCTAGACTTGACCATTTCTTTCTGAAATTTTCATACATATGCCTTAGACAGAATCTGTGATGCACCTTTGGATACTCCTTCTTGAATACCTCTAACAAACCTTTTTGTCTATCACTAATGTAGCATATTCCCTTCTCCACGGGATCACCAATTACTATATGCAAGTGATGTAAAAACCAACTCCAGTTTAAATTGTTCTCCACGGGCACTATTGCAAACGCAATTGGAAACATGTTGTCGTTTCCATCCCTTGCCACTGCACACAACAACTGTCCTCCGAAGGGTGTCTTTAGAAAGCATCCATCAATTGCAATGATAGGCCTACAACCACCTAAGAACCCAGATATGAGAGCATCATATGTAAAAAACATCTTCTCAAACACCGGGACATTGTCCTTATTCAGATTACATCCAACCTTGATGTATGCTCCTGGATTGTGCTTCATCACAGTGGCACAATAATCCCAGATCTTAGTGTATTGCACCCCAGCATCTCCATGGATTAGTTTAAATGCTTCTCTCCTAGCCCTTTTTGCCTTATGTACATTGCAAATCACTTTAATGTTTGAAAAAATCCAGTCTGCAAGAGTTTGTAGAGGCTCCACGGGTACATCCTTGACATGTTGTTTGATCCTGTGCCCTAAATACTTGTAGGTAGCAGCTGTGTTATCAAACCTCCATGCACAATGTGTCTTCGGACAATTCATTGTTTTGATCTGAAATGTAGGACCACCTTGGACCCATGATGCTCTTACTCTCCAATTGTCGCATGTCTGACACTTGACTAAAACTCTATTATGCTCATTCTTCATAAACTCAAGCTGAATGCCATGCCTCACTGAATAATCTCTGATGACCATCCTGTACTCATTGCCATTCTTGAACTTTAGCATAGGCTCTAGTACAAATTTCTCCATCTCAGAATCAGACTTAAACTCTGGACATTTATTATCATCTAGACAACTTATTTCTTCATCTTCCACATCACTAAATGCAGCTTCAGTATCACCATTGCCTCTTTCAGTATCAACACCATTTTTCTTCTACTTGTCCCTTTTATCTATTAGCTCCCTCTCTTTTTTCTTTAGCAAGGTCAACTTCACCTTATTACACCTTTGATCATCAGTGTCATCAAATAAACCTTCCTCATCAGATAATTCTAGGTCCTCAAAAAGAAAATCAGGAGTTCCCTCCTCTGCCTCAATAGGTTGATCACCATTATCCTTCCCTACTTTATCATTTTTATCAACTTCCTGAACATCACCTAAACTCTCTTTCGAGTCATCATTACCAACCCCGTCTCCATTGTCATTTTGACATTGGTTGTACAAATTAAAACTAAGTAACTCCATGAAGGAACATTGTGTAAAATCATGAGGAACCTCAAACCCAGCATCTATATTTGCAGCCTCTAAGTCATTAATTCCACAACATCCATTTTGTATCCTTAATTCGTCCATCTCATACATCTAGATTTAAAAAAAACAAAAACAAATTATTTAGATAGTATATTAGAAAAAAACTGTCCATCTCATGCATAATAGTTTCTAAGACTAAACGTGTAAACCTTCAAAATATGGCTCAATTCACAAATGCTACATTGGATGATGACACACCACAATTCAAGATTAGAGTTTAAACATAAACAAACACATCACAAATAGATAAATTTTTAATTTGTTTGTTCTTTTTAATTCTTTATGAAAGTTTATAAAGAATGCCACTTTCCAGTGGATTTGGCCTTGATACTTGCAATCCCACACCCTATAAGAACATAAAACCCCATCTCAAAACACTACAAATTAAATGACCATAGGCAACATACAAAACTGCAACAATATTAAGGATGTTGTCAAAGACTATCTTTGGCAACAATTTACACATGATGCTTTTAAGTTTGAATTATTTGTAAATGTTTTTGTAGTAACAACACAAAAACTGTTGCCAAATAGAATATAAGGCAACACAAAGTAGTTGTTGCTCTAGTGTGAAAAAAGAGGCCAGCGGGAAAGCTAAATTTTATTGGCGCGCATCCATAGAAAGAAAGGGGGCAAATAATTAAAATATACCATTCTCCCCATTTTGCAAGACAATTCTCCAAATTAAAAAGAAAATTGAGATGGGGAGTTAGGGTTCAACGATTCTCGCAAACAGTTGCCGATTCTCCTCAGCCGTCTCTTCTCCTACCATACCATCAAAGTGTTCGATTAGCTCTATCACAGGTCAGGATCGATTAGCTCTGTTTTTTTACAAATCGAAGCACCACCATGTTTTTTTTACAAAATGCCGATTCTCCTCATATATCAATAGCTTGCTGTTTCCAACTGAAATGTGTTTTGATTCCTTTCTAATGTTTGGTTTCCAAATTAAATATTGGGGTATGAAGCAAGTTCTCTTGGTTGTTGTTGAACTTGTTTCCTTGTTGAGTATAATAAATTTATGTTTCCAGATTTGTATCTGAAGATGTAGATGTCAGGAAGAAAACAAGCACAACCTTCACCAAATCACAAATGAATTGGATTGAATTTTGATTACATGTATTTTTTTGCTTGGAATGAACAATTAAATTCATTTTTTTCAATTTTATAATAATATGGAATCAACACATCCACTTGCTAGTGTTCCATACTTAATGTTCAGCTTTATCTACATTCTATGGATTGGTTGCTTACCTAAGTTTCTAGGTTCAGTATAGAACCTTACTGCTACCATGTTCTGCTATGGACTGCTTGTTATAGAAGAATTTCATATAAGGTGTAAAATGGAGAGACAACATTGATTTAAAAAACATATAATTAGTTCTGTTGTTTGAGAGTCCTTAAAAACAAAATATTCTTTTCTTAATTTTCTTGAATAGATCAACAATGGGAACGAAGAAAAAGAAACTGGATATGCTTGGAGCCACTGGACATCTAAATTTGCAAAGTTCGGATGTTTTAAAATTGACAATGTCAAGTTATGAGAAGCAAAGGCTAGAAAGGATAGAGCTTAATGCTGCAAAAATGAAAGCTTTAGGACTAGAGGAAAAAGCTAGGTTGCTTTTAAAGAGACATTCAGAGTTGAATAATCAGAAAAAATTACAAAACAAAAAAGGAAAGAAGGCATTGGAGGGAGCTGAAGAGCATAGACCTAATAACAATGTTCATGATGGGAAAGAACTAGATGCTTCAGATGCTATTATAGATGACAAGGATTTGAACAATGCCATACCCCAGACAATTGTGAGAAAGGTAGCTATCCTTGGCCTCTATATTATTTATATATGTTCATATATGCCTACTTTGCAATGATCATTACTTAACTGCATGATAACATGTATATGATATGTGATGTAATATTTACCTATTTTGATAGTCATATATTGTTTGTGTATCTACATGTGTGGATATATGTCTTTTTCACACGATCATGCCTATCTTTGTTCTTATTTACGTCATTTCTTGTGCATTACAGAATTGAATGAAATGGAACACTTAAACAAAGATTGGATAGATGCACCCCAAAATACTGATGAGTTCATAAATGGTGTTAAGAGTTTTCTTGATTTTGCATTTGAGAATACAACCATAGATGTTGAAGATGATGATGAGCCTGAGATCTTGTGTCCTTGTACTAAATGTGTTAATCGTTATTGGTTTACCAGAGAGGTGGTCTATAATCATTTGATTGTCAATAGATTTAACCAAAGGTATAAGGTATGGAACTTCCATGGCGAGGGATTAACAGCGGGGATAAATAATAAACCGGGTGACACTTATGAAAATTCTAATAATGGCGATGATATGAGTGCAATGATGAATGATATTTTCAGAAATTTAGTGGGCGAATCTTCTAGAGGAGATGGAGATCATCAAGGGCCTGATGAAAATGCAAAAGGATTTTATAAACTGGTCCAAAATGCCCAAGAAGAGTTATACCCAGGGTGTAAGTCATTTTCAGTGCTTTCTTTCACAATTCGACTCTATCTTTTGAAATGTATGAATGGATGGAGCAATTCTTCCTTCACTAATCTATTAGAGACATTGATGGAGGCCTTTCCATTTGCTAAAATTCCCAAATCCTTTGAGGTTGTTAAAAGAATGGTGAGAGACTTAGGCCTTGATTATAAAAAAAATAGATGCATGTCTAAATGATTGTATGTTTTACTGGAAAGATCATGAAAAAGATACATTTTGTCATGTTTGTAAAGTGTCAAGATGGAAGTTGGATGAGAAACAACAAAAGGAAGGTGCTCTTCCAGAAACTGGCATTCCAGCAAAGGTTTTACGGTACTTCCCCTTGATACCTCGACTACAAAGGTTATTTATGTCTTCTAAAACAGCAGGACATATGACATGGCACAAAACTGAGTGTCCTAAAGATGGAAATCTACGACACCCAGCTGATGGCGAAGCTTGGAAAGCTTTTGATCGTCTACATCCTACTTTTGCATCTGACCCTCGTAATGTGAGGCTTGGTCTTACAAGTGATGGCTTTAACCCATTTGGTAATATGAGCACTTCTTATAGCATTTGGCCTGTTGTTTTGTCAATTTATAACCTCCCACCATGGATGTCGAACAAGCCAGAGTATTACATCATGTCCATGATTATACCTGGACCACGTTCTCCTGGATATAATATAGATGTATACCTACAACCGCTAATAGATGAATTGAAAGAATTATGGGTGAGTGGGATTCTTACATATGACGCTGCAAAGGATGAGACGTTTAGGATGCATGCCTCACTACTATGGACAATAAGCGACTTTCCTGCCTATGCAATGTTATCTGGCTGGAGTACCAAAGGGAAACTGGCATGTCCTACCTGTAATTATGACACATGCTCCAGATATTTGAAATATAGTAAAAAAATGTGTTATATGGGGCATCGAAGATTTCTAGAGGAAACCCACCCTTCACGATGCAATAAAAGAGCTTTTGATGGAACCATAGAGACAAGGGCTCGACCTTGTTCCTTGTCAGGATCTGAAATTGCAGCTGAGTTGGAGGGGTTTGAAAATGTGTTCGGGAAGATGCAGAACAAGAGGAAAGATAAAAAATTCCCTTGGAAGAAAAAATCAATTTTCTTTGAGTTGCCATACTGGGAGACTAATTCCTTGCGACACAATCTGGATGTTATGCATATTGAGAAAAATATTTGTGACAGTATCCTTGGAACATTACTTGATATCCCTGGGAAAACAAAAGACCATCTAAATGCACGCCTTGATCTCCAAGATATGGGTATAAAGAAAGAGCTTCAACCAAAGAGATTAGGTGACAATAGACATGTCAAGCTTTCTAAAGCAAGCTTTTCGATGTCTCCTGAAGAAAAAAAAGTATTTTGTGATGTTATAAAAGGGGCAAAACTTCCGGATGGTTGTGCTTCAAATATATCCAGATCAGTGCACTTAAGTGAAACTAAAATTTCAGGATATAAGAGCCATGATGCTCATTTCATGCTTCATTACCTATTACAAGTTGCTGTCAGGAAAACACTGCCCAAACAAGTTTCTTTGACTTTGATAAGGTTGGGATCTTTTTTTAGAAGTTTATGTAGTAAAGTTATACAACCTATCGATCTTAAGAAGTTAGAAGTAGAAATTGTCGACATCTTATGCCAGCTTGAAAAAATTTTCACACCAAGCTTCTTTGACATAATGGTGCACCTACCTGTTCATTTAGTAGAAGAAGTTAGGCTTGGGGGACCTGTCCATGAAGAAGTTGAACTTATGCCTTTGACTCATGATGATGATGTTGATTTCTTTAGACTTGATTTGCCTCCAACAACCGTAAGAACAGTAGATGATTTTGAGTTCTTTAAGAACTATTTCTGTATAATGTTTATATTTTGTATACTTATAATGTACTTTTTCTTAAATATTGCTTCTTCAATTTAGAATGAACTCAAGACTTCAGGTTCACGAGTAGCTGAAGATAATGATGCAGAGGCTACCATTGATTCACTGTTTCATTCTAAGAATGAGAAACGACGTCGACTATGCCTTTTTGGAAGAGGTGTTTCTTACACTTCATTGAAGCAACAAGCTATTCAAAAAGAGTGTGAAAAGAAATATCAACAAAAGTATGAAGAAAAAAGACAGGAGGACAGAACAGAGCTAGCGAATGGTTTACGATATTTGATGTCTGAATTAAGACATACTTGTCCAAATTTTACTATTGATGAAAGTGTTTTTGGCTCTTTACTGGTCAGAGATCAACCAACTGGAGGTGCTGAAACTAGTAAAGAAACTATGATCCATTCTTCTTCTTCCGATTCAACACATGTGCCAAATCATGATCATCTAGCATCTCCAAATGTGCTGAACCCTGAGGTACTTTATTCACTTCAAATATGCTCAAAATATGATATTCCTGGATGTCCTTTTGCTTGTTTTTTGGCTGGTATTGAATTGTAATTCTTATTTTTGAAACACACTTAAGGCCTCCTTAGTTTTGTGTGGGTTTTTTACTTGTTTGTGGCAACATGTATGTGATAAAAAAGGACTTTATTATTAGTCAGAATCATGAGTACAAACTGAATTCAATTGTTAATTTGATGCAAATGATTTCCTTTTAGCTTAACTTTCAGAGAATAATGATTTAGCTTAATGCAAAATTTGAATGTTCTTAATTCAACTCAATTTGTCACTTTATATATGCAACATGATTGTTTTATATCTAATCTGTTTTCTTTTAAGTTATGACTACCCGTTTATTTTTTTTGCAGGGAACACAATTCATGGATGATGATATGTTTTCATGACCAGTTGATTATGTCAAGACATGATGTGTTTTTTTTGTTTTTTGCTTTGCTTCTAGAGTGATAGCATAACACTAAAAACTTGTTGGTGTTAGTTTTTGGGTACAGTGTTGTGGAAGCTCATAAACAATGCATGTTTTCCAATTTGAAGTATTTAAGTAATAGAAGTCAGTTTGAATGTTTAGTGACTACATATTTTAGTATGAATGTTCAAATAAAATCGTTTGGGCACATCATATTAAATATATTATTATTCTATATTGAGTTGTCTTGTGAAACCAATGAGTTTATATGATGTTATAAATGTTTTTAATTGTATATTAAATTATTTTATGAAGTAAAACATTTATACGCAGATAACAATAGATGTTATCATGTTTGATATGGTTATTATTATTATTATTATTATAAGAAACAACATGGTACACATGCTAACAAAGGCAACAATTATAGATTGTTAAATATTAGGCAACAAATTCATAGTGTCACCATATTACAACATTTATGATCTGTTGCCTAAGAAAAACCGTTGCCTTAGGTGCATCTAAGCTCATTTTTATAAACTGTTGCCTTTTGTATCAAAACTGTTGCCTTAAAAAAAGACAACAAGGGCAAATGCAACATTTAATTTTTGTTGCCTTAGATGTAAGGCAACAGTTTTTAAATGTTAGCATAGACTATTTTTCTTGTAGTGAAACAAGCACCATCGATGTACAGGTTGTAAACTAACAAACTAGTGACAAGGTAAGTATGCAATTAAAATAAAAATAAAATATCCCAAATTGATCAAGAAAAACCCTAATTGAAAAAATCATAAATTTGGAATGAAATTCATAAATGATTCGGTAATACCTTCAGTATGTTGCCGGAAACACGTGGGAAGAACCAAATAGCAGGGGGAAAAATTGGAAGAATGATTGGATATGAAGAAAATAGCAGCGATGGAGGTAGTGAGAATTTGGGAAAGTTGGGTGAGGTTTACTGTTGATAAAAGTGAGTTCCATGTGAATTATTAAAAAAAATAAATTACATCTCATTTTGCATAAGGTATAAAATATTTTGGGACGAAGTGAGTATAAAATATAACGAGGCAATGGTAAAAAGATGAACATCACGGTTCTTTTGACCCGTACGATTTTGACCTTAAAATGACTCCAATTACCTACGATGTTTTGTTGGTAAAATTGATGATTTTTATTGCCTAACCCCCTATCCTCACCCTAGATTGCCTATCATTCAGCGATTACGCTCGAATCAGTGTGAGCATAAATGAAAAGTTTGAACGAATCAGGCCACAAAAAGGTGGGAAGAATATAAATGGGTTTGAAACAATAATGTTTGCTACTTTGCTTCAACCCTAACTAGGCGAGCAAATGGGTAATTTGGCGATACAAATTTGGAGTTTTTAAATTAAGTAGATGGAAGATAGTCTCATAATTATAAATCCTTTTAAACATTTTTATAAGATTTTTTTTAGAATGGTACTTTTATAAATGGCCGATCTCGGCCAAACAATTTAATTTTTTTTTAATCCTCATAAAACTAATTTGAAAAAAATTAATATGTGACGGTGGGCGGATATGGATTAAACTCTTTTGTCTTTGTGGAATATGTTAGGAAATGATAAAGAGTGTCTCACATCAAAATTTGTAGATAAATAAAATCGGTATATAGACTTTTGAAATTAATTAAGTAATCGATTGAATTCAATTTTTTGATGTGATTCAGTTCAAATATTTTGTTGCTAATTGAGTGATCCGGGAAAGAAAAGTACGGAATACACCTCAGAGTTCACACAAATGAGCTCCCGTTTCTTTGCCCCCCAAAACGGCATAGCATTATTGAGTGGGACAAAATTAAAAAATGGATGATGCTACACTTACATACAAAATTATACTCCATTATGCTACACCGTAGTTATACATAAACATTTTGATGATTTACACCGACACAAGTGTTGGTGCGTTAACAAAAATTTACACGGACATAAAGTATTAGTGCGTTAACAAAAATTAATTTTACACCAACACAAAATGTTGGTGCAAACCCGCGATGTATAAATGAAGTACAAAAACTTAGAGTACAAATAGCTTTATCTTTAAAAAAATATCCAAATAAAAAGACAGCTAAGCATATGAAGGGAAAGCGGAGAGGTGTCAATCTGTAATCCACCCACACATTTATCACATACTCTTGTCGTAGTGTATCTATGTTTGTGTTTAAAGGGTCCCTGACTCAAACGCGTACCACCTACTTACTGCACACGCCACTCATTATTTTTAAAAAAAAAACGCGCACCCAACAGCTAAGCACCACCGCCACCCGGCCTTCCTTCCTTCCTCCATTCTTCAAACCTCTCATCTGCTTTCGGCCATATATAACCGCTCTACCCACTCCTCTTGTTCCATAAACCCATCTTTCTATCTATAAAAAATCAATAATCCGGCCTCTAAGAATTTCCAACATGAAGTTCCTGTTTGTCCCGCCGGTGATCTCATCATCACTAGCAGTAATCCTACTGATGACCTCCGTTCTTCTGCCAGCCTCCGCCGCCGGGAACTTCTACGAGGACACGCAGCCCACCTACGGGGGAGAGGAACGCGTGAAGGTTCTGGAAGGCGGGCGCCTACTAAACCTGAACTTGGACCACTCCTCCGGCTCTGGCTTTCAATCCAAGAACGACTTTCTCTTCGGGAGATTCGACGTCCGCCTCAAGCTCGTCCCCGGAAACTCCGCCGGCACCGTCACCACCTTTTACGTACGTACCCTCGTCCCCCTACCTCTCATTTAATTAATTTGGATTCTGTTTAACTACTCCGTATATAATTGGAATATAAATGAAAACAGTTGTATTCCCAAGGAGAGGCACACGACGAGGTTGATTTCGAGTTCTTGGGGAACTCGTCGGGACAGCCATACACAATCCACACAAACGTTTACTCCCAAGGGAAAGGGGACAAAGAGCAGCGCTTCCAGCCTTGGTTCGACCCCACCGCCGCCTTCCACAACTACTCCATTGTCTGGAATCCTCTCCGCATCATGTAATTAAGCTTTGCTTAATTAGCAACCCTAATTAATTAGCTTCATTTATTCTGTACCTAGCTAGTAGTACTGCATGCATGTGTGTGCATTTAATTAATTGACTGATTTCATGATCATTGCATATTGCTGTTACGTACAACACACAGATTCATGATAGACAACATTCCCATAAGAGTGTTCGGGAACAACGAAGCGATCGGCGTCCCGTTTCCGAAGAAGCAGCCGATGAAGGTCATAGCCAGCCTGTGGAACGCAGACGACTGGGCGACGCAGGGGGGGCGGGTGAAGACCGACTGGAGCAATGCTCCGTTCACGGCCTCATACAGGGACTTCAACGCCAACGGCTGTGTGTGGTCAGCCCAGAGGTCGGCATCCTCTTGCAGCGGCGGCACTCAGAGCACCATAGCAGCAGCAGCAGCAACAACAACGGGCGGGCAAGGGGGCCAGCCTGCGCAGGATTGGCAGACTCAAGATCTCGACGCCAAAGCGAGGAACAGACTCCGTTGGGTGCAGAGCAAGTTTATGATTTACAATTACTGCTCCGATCTTGCCAGGTTCCCCCAGGGCCTCCCTCCCGAATGCAAGCGCCAAACCCAGAGGTTCTAATTCTTGATCGAATTATTATTCATCATCAGAGCCACTTGCGTTGCGCCAGAGCCTCAGTAGTAATCTCTTTGGGAGAATTCAATCTATCTACCGTCATGGGGCCGCTTTATCCTTATCCCTGCTGTCCAAAGTTAATTTATTTGTATAAAGTAGAAACTATTAGGGAGAGTACTATTCTTTATTCTTTTTTGTATTGTCGGTATGTGTGGATAATAAAGGCAGTTATGTTACCCTATTGATTGCTCAGTACGTATTCATGATGAATGGTTTTAAACTTTGCTCCCTACAGCTGGTTTTAATATGTTCCATCTTGTTAGTTTGCTCAAAAAACATATAATGCATGTCATGTTATNCGTCATGGGGCCGCTTTATCCTTATCCCTGCTGTCCAAAGTTAATTTATTTGTATAAAGTAGAAACTATTAGGGAGAGTACTATTCTTTATTCTTTTTTGTATTGTCGGTATGTGTGGATAATAAAGGCAGTTATGTTACCCTATTGATTGCTCAGTACGTATTCATGATGAATGGTTTTAAACTTTGCTCCCTACAGCTGGTTTTAATATGTTCCATCTTGTTAGTTTGCTCAAAAAACATATAATGCATGTCATGTTATTATTAAAAAATTAAAATAAATACGATAAAATTTTAATCCATATCATGTTTATATATTAGTTGAACTTTTAACAAATATACAAAATGTTAATATAATTCTTAAATAGTCATACATATATCCGTGTTTACTATTTTATTGGCTATTTTTTCTTGTTCTTTTTATTTAGGAAACAGTGGAATAAAATATACTCCCTCCCTCCACAAATAAACTTCTTGTTGCGCGTTACGATGTTTGACTCAAGTTATTTTCAAATCATTTTATATGAAACAGCCTCTCTACTTTCGGAGTAGGAGTAAGGTCTGCGTACACACACCCTCCCCAGACCCTACTCTTGTGGGATTCAACTGGGTTGTTGTTGTTGTTTTTATATGAAAAATGGTGTAAAATTTGAAATTAAAAATTACATATTAAAAAATTATATCAAAAGATCTACAAAACTAGATGTGACATGACTATATTATTTTATCAAATGGGTGACGAAAATAGATCAACAAAGTGAATAAAGCTTGACTCTGTGAATAGTGAACAAGAAGTTTATTTGTGAACGGAGGGAGTATTTTCTTTTTTTATTTTCATACATGTATAGTGTTTCATACACAAAGATGGCTGAGTAAGAAAAAATGAAACTTTTCCTTAAAAACTTAAGATACAGTTTTCTATCAAAATTATAAATTTATTTAGTCAAAGTGTAAAACAATAAAAATCATAGAGGAAATTAATGAATACATCTTTCCCTCGCATACAATGATATCTCCAAAAATGATATGTCTAACAAATTTTTTTATGAAGAGTTAATGTATTATCCTTCATATGTACATGCGTGTATATATAATATTTATGTACTGCATCGATAAACATTGTGATTGAAAAACTTTAATTAATTTACTTATTTATTTAAGAGTAAATTCCATAAAAAGTCTACAATTATAGGTCGTTTTACATATTTAGTCCCTACATATCAAATATCAATAATTTAATCCCCAATTATTATATTGTTTTCCAAAATGGTCCTTTGTTAATATTTCTGTTAAGAACATGGATAAAAGTATATATTCACACTTCTTTCCTTCCTCAATTAAACTTCCTCCCTCCTTCCCAAACTTGTCACTAAGTTTGAAGCTCCAAACCTAAAACCGAAACGATCACTTCTCTCTCAATTATTCCTCTTCTTGGTGTAATCCAAAATCGAAACCAATAACCTTCATGGATGACTTTTATGATTTAGTCTCAGGAAATTGCAAAAAAACAAACCTTAAAAATCATCCGTGAAAGTTACTGGTTTCGATTTTCATTTCCACCAGGAAGACGAAGAATTGAGAGAGGAGTGATGATTTTAGTTTTTGGTTCAAAGCTTCAAACGCAGTGACGGGTTTGGGAAAGGAGTGCAAGGGGAGGGGGGGGGGGAATTTAATTGAGGAGAGAGTGGAGTGTGAATTTACAATTTTTTCCACGTTTTTAACGGAAATATTAACAAATTAAAGGACCATTCGTGGAAAACAATATAATAATTGGGGACTAAATTATTGATATTTGATATGTAGAAACTAAATGTGTAAAATAAACTATTACTGAAGACCTTTTATGGAATTTACTCTTTATTTAATGTAAATTTTATTTTTTAATATAATACGAAATAACCATTTTATAGATGCATTTATATAAAAGTATGCAAGCTCGTGCGAATCACCAGCTAAAACTAGTTAAGCCGTATTTTAAAACCAAATGCAAAATAAAAGTGACATTAATATTTTATTTAAAGAAAACGGATACTCCCTCCGTCCCCCAGTTTTTGTCCACTTTTGACTTTTGGAATTGTTCATCTAAGCACTCTGACTCATCAAATTCTCTCAATGTGTAAGCCTAAATATAGTCATGTGTAATTGATGGACAATAAATCCACCAAATGATCCGATTCAGAAAGCGGATCGTAAGAATCTAATTAAGAACGAGAATTCGAGAATTGAGTATGTATTATCAGCTTGATTTAGCTTGTCCTCTCCCCTCTCGGGTCTCTTCTACTTATACATGAGCTTTAGACAATTATGGTAATGCATAATCAATGGAGTCTATCCCGTCAATGGCGCGATCCCCTTTTTCCGGCTTCGTCTCCGCCATTCGGTTCCGTCTCCTTTTCCGGATTGACTCTGCCAGCTGTTCCTGGACCGGAAGTGACTGGGCTTAGCCCTATGGACCGGCCCAAGCCTTGATATCCTCCAAGTGCTTGACCCAAATTGTTTGGACGATTCATTTGGGCCGCCCGTTGGATATTGGCCCATCATAAGCCCCCCAACTCCTCAATCCTCGACTGGGCCCAGTTGAGGAATGGGGAATTTACAAAGTCCACGTGGGCGCTCCAGCGCGGATCCCGGCCGTTTCTTTGGCTCCGCGTGACACTTAGACACGATCTCCACGAATAGGTAATCATGACCTGCCGCTTCGCCTCCCCAGTGTCAGTTCAAAACCGCCGCTGCTACCCGACCCGTTCTTCTTCCTTTCCAGGTCAGTTCCTTTTCTCGCCGCCATGATTGTTTCATATTCCGATTCGGCTACCCCATCGTCCAATTCTCGCCAAGCCGATCAATCGGCCCCTGGGCGTAACCCCGGCCACACTCAATCACCCCAGCCGTCACCGTCGGCCGTGTCTGGCCATAAACGGCGTCGATTGAGGAAGCAATTCCCTTGCTCAACCCCGGTAGATGAGGGCTCGAGGGTTGGATTGGACGAAAACATCATGGCGCTGTGCCATTGCCAGATTACTGACCGGGGGTTCGCCGATGCTACTGACATGGTCGGACCTTCCATTGAAGTCATGAGACCTACCAGCACCCAAACCGCCCTGGACGCCCCTTCAGGGTTCTTCACGGTCCATCTGGCGTCTTTGAAGAAGGGGCTGCGCTTCCCACTCCACCCGCTTTTGATCGAACTCCTCAACGTGGTGGACCTTCTTCCGTGTCAGTTGGTCCCCAACTCTCACCGGTACATCGCCAGTTATTTGGTCCGGTGCAAGGTTGTAGGGGTGAAACCAACTTTGGACCATTTCCTATTCACTTTCAAGCTGACCAAGGGCCATAAGGATTGGGCGTCCTATGCAAGCCTTTCCGAGAGGTCCAGTAAGCTCTTTGCTAGTGACAAGAAGGGGTCAACCAAAGACTGGAAACCCTTCTTCGTTTTCGTCTCGACGGGGCCCGAATCTCCTTTCACGGGTTCAGGGCGCCCTTCCTTTCGCCGCATCCCATGCCCCCCACCTGATGCCACCCTTTTGTCCATCACTCGCCAACTCTGCAATAAGGGAGTTATGAACATCAAAGAGGTGGTGACAGAGGAAACCCTTGCCGGGTTGGGGTTTGAGTTTGTTCAGGATGAGCTTCGTCACCAACCCGACCTACTGAGGGACATTCCCGGGGGGCATCAGCCTGACCAGCTGAAGGACATTCCTGAGGAAGGTCTTGACTGTGGTCCTTTTGGTAATTGACCTTCTCTTTTGCCCGGACGTTTAGTTTATCTTTTTCCAAGGCTGACCATTTCATTTGTTTCCAGTGGAATTACAAGATTCAGGAGAAGAGATGGACGGCGATCTCCTACTCAGTCGCATCACTAAAGGGAGGAAGAGGAAGAGAGAGGCGAAGGGCCAGGGCAAACGCTCTTCGTCCCACCACGGGGAGAGTCTTTCCCGAGAGCCGGCTGTGATTGTAGTGGAGAACCAGGATGATGCTACCCTGGAAACGGGTACAATGACAGGCCATTCCCCTCCTCACTCTGTGAGGCCGGGTGACGACCTCGCTAGGTCGTCACAAGGTGTTGTCTCGGAGCGACCTCCTTCGCCTCCCGCGGTGACCTACGAGGTGGCGACCGGGGGTCGCTCGACGAGGCTTTGCATTCCTCCTCTGCCCCAAAGCTTAGGGGACGTGCAACTGGAGACCCTGATCACCCTGCCCGCGGAGGACCAAGCCCGCATATCGGCCGGTTCCGAGGACGACCTTGATAATATGGTCCTCTTGAGGCTAAGCCAGGTACTTGCACTGATTATCTCTGCATTCCTCCTTTTTTTTACGTTCTTAACCCCCATGCCTTGGTGCAGGCCACGCTGGGGATGATCGAGGTGGTTGGTAGGAGACGGGGTCACCAAGCTGCCTTGGGCGAGGCGTTGAAGACATCGGAGGCCAGGCAGAAGGAATTGCAGGAGGAGGTCGCCCGACTCACAAGAGAGCTTGGGGAGAAGGAAAATCGCTGCGCGGCGCTTGCTGCGGAGAAAACTTCCCATGAGAACCGCTGCGTCGCCCTTGAGGCAGACAAGGCCTCCTTGTCCTTGGAGGTAGAATCTGTTTCTTCTCGCGTGGTCGAGCTGGAAGGGGAGAAGTCTGATTTGATCCAGCAGTTGGAAGTGGAGAGGAGCGACCGGGTCCGCCATGCGGAGGAAGCGGTAGAATCCTTCAAGTCTTCTCCTGACTTCACGATGGTCGCGATGGAGCGGATGGAAGAACTAAGAGCCGCTTGGCTCAAAACTGAACCTGGGGCTCAATGGATGGTCAAGGAGGGGACCAAGTCCTTCAATTGTGGACTCTTCCGCGCCCAACAGGTCTTCCGCGACAGACTGGCTCAGCTCCCCAAAGGATTCTCTCTCCCCGACCTCGGCTTTCCCCCTCCTTGCCGTTCCTTGGCCGAGTTCGACCCCAGCCCTTACTTGGATGGAGGGAGCTCAAGCGCGTCTGAAGAAGAGGAAGAAGAAGAAGAGGAAGGTGGACAGGGCGACCAGAATCCAGGGGCCAGCTTAGCCACGTCCAAAGCGGGTGGACATTCCGGCTCGACCGTCTAAACTCCCATGTTGTTCCCCCACAGCTTTATAAACACTTGCCTCTTTTTTCTTCGGAATGATTTGTCGTTTTGATACAATGCTCCTATGTTGTCTGATTTTCTGGATTCACCATGTGCTTTCTTTTTTCGGCGTTTTACTTCAGCACTCTTTTTTAATTTAGCTGGTTAACATGGACGTTTTCGTTAGGGCCCAACTTCTAATCCCGGCCCGATTACCCGACCAGGCCCAATCTCAGGATTGGCCAACGTGCCGCCCAACTGTCCCAATGCCCCTTGCAGTCTCTGATTGGACCTTCGCGCGGCTCAAAGCTGCTTTATCGGTTCAGCTGCCTTGGGACTTGACTGTCTCTTCGGTTTCTTCACCTAGGCTTATTTATAAGCCCCCCGAACCTTCATTTTGTTCCATCACCAAATATTTTCCCTTTCTCCATTATCGTCATGTCTGAAGGACTCCCATTTCTCTGAATCTTTCTGACGGGCCGGCTCCTTCTTCGCCGGAGCCTGCCTCCTCCCCACAGTCAGTCAATTCCAATGACTGGGGGGGGGGGCTAGACCCTTACGAATTCTGTCGCCGGTTGCCTCGCCGGCAGTGGCCGTCGGTGAGACTGCCGCCACTACCGCCAAACCCTTACGAAGATTTCAGTGAGGTGTACAAGGCCCTCTCTGCCAACCGCCTGCCTGACGGGCGGATTGATTGGGATGCTCCATGCCCCCTCCATTCCCTGCAATGCATGGCCTGGGAGAGCTTCCACGATGAGCACTTACCCCTCCTGGAGCATGAGTGCACATATTACGCAAGTCTTGAACGATGGACTAGCGAAAGTCGCACCAATTCGCCGGTGAGGCTTAAGGAGGAGGTTGTGTTGGGGGAAGAACTGGGTCCTTCCCTACCCCGCCTTGCTTGCCGCTCACCTCCCCGGAAGACCCCTAGGCGACCTGGAGTAGCTCGAGCGGCTTCAGGATCTCCATCCTCATCTAGGTGATGCTGGTTGGGGTTCACGGAGAAGTGAGCCGTCCCCCGTCCTTCCTTGGTAGGAGAAGGGCGGTGGGTTTTTTCTGAGGCTGGGGGCGACCGATCCCGTTCCATGGTGGGGAAGAAAGGTGGTCGTCTTGGACGGCCGGTGATCGGAGTTCTGCCGGCCTATACAGCTGCAGAACTACCCTTCAAACCTACCTGTCCCCCCTAGACGTTTTGCTCGCAAAGTTTTAGATTGTTCTTTTTCATTATAAGAGATGTATGGGAAAGTATCCCTCCCTATGTAGAGATTGTTCTCAACTGTATTGTAGCAGATGCAAGAGATTATCCTTGAAATGTAATGAACATTTTTGTGAATGTATTCTGATGTTACCTGTTTACTTACAAGTTTCACCTTCTTCTCTTTCGCATCCCACTTTAGACGTTCAGGTTTCCTCAGACTTAAATCAGAGAATACCTCGCTTCTTTTGACTTAGCCATTTCCGGGTTACTTTGACCCTTGTGGCGTCGCCATACCCCCAAGATCCCCTGGTCGCTCATGCGATCAACAGATCTCATGTTCCAAACTTAGCCATTTTCTCAGGCTTTCTTGCCACGGCGTCGTCCTCTGATTAGTCGCGTTGCTTGATAACCCTCAACCTTGGTCGCTCGACAGGGTTCGACGCCTCACCCCCCACTGGGTATCTTAGCACGAATCACCATGCAATTTAGGCTTAGCGATCTCTTGTGGTCGCTCCTTTTTTTTTGGAATTGGAGACAAGACATGCCAGAATGCTGGTTTTATTAAACTTCAAGAGAGAGACATGGCTGGAATACAATCTATTGATAGAATTTAATAAGGTTGGCGGCATTCCATACTCGCGGAACGTCGCCACCGGCCGGAGTCTGCAATCTAAATGTCCCGTCAGCCAACACCTCCTTTATGATATATGGCCCTTCGAAGCTTTTGGCAAACTTCCCTCCATCGGTCGGCCGACTGACCTCCCTTTTCCGAAGGACCCAGTCGCCTACCTTGAACTGCCTTGGTCGCACAAGTTGGTCGTGGTATGACTTGACCTGCCGGCGGTAGTTCTCTGCCCGTATGTACGCCCTCTCTCTTCGTTCATCAATGAGGTGCAGCTCTACCCTCAAGTTTTCTTCATTCTCCTGGGCGTCGAACGTCTCCACTCTATAACTCAGCAACGAGGTCTCCGCTGGAGCCCTTGCTTCGAATCCATATGTGAGCGAGAAAGGAGTTTCACCTGTAGCCTTCCTCGGGGTGGTCCTATAGGTCCACAAGATGTAGGGCAACTCCTCTACCCAGGCGCTTTTGCATTCCATTATCTTCTTCTTGAGACCGTCCACGATGGTATGATTAGTGTTCTCGACTTGTCCATTGGTTTGGGGGTACCCGACCGCTGCATAGCTGTGCTTTATGCCCCAGCTCTGTAGAAACTCATTGAACCCTCTGGCCTCAAACTGGGTTCCATTGTCGGTGATGATCTGCTGGGGCACCCCAAATCGGCACAAGATTTGCTTGGACACAAACTTCCTCATCTGTTCCTCAGTGATGGTTGGTACGGGGGCGGCCTCGACCCACTTGGTAAAATAGTCGATCGCGACCACTAGATACGTGTTGTTCCCTGTCCCCCGATGCAAAATGCCAACCAGATCAATACCCCACCGGGCAAAGGGAGTTGCTGTGCTGATCGGGGTATAATTCGTCGCCGGTCGCCCCGGCATCCTTTGGAATTCTTGGCAAACCTTGCATCTCCGCACGTATTCTGCACAATCTCTGATAATCGTTGGCCAAAAGTATCCTTGCAGTGTGACCTTCCTGGACATGGTGAAGGCTCCCTGATGCGCTGAGCATATCCCTTCATGGATTTCCTCCATTAACTTCTGCGCCTCGTCCGCTCTTAAGCATCTCAACAATATACCATTGTACGACCGCTTGTACAGCCGACCGCACTCCAGCGTGTAATTGGGTGCACGTCGTTTTACCACTTTTGCTGTGATTGGGTTGGTAGGTAGCGACCCGTCAAGGAGGTACATGGTAATCTCATCGATCCAATCCGCTGGCTCCTTAAGTGTGATGACCAATACTTGTCCGAGACTGATTCTTGGTTCGAGCAATTCTTCTTCCTGGGTCATTGCCTTGATATGATCTGGGGAATCCGGGCCAAGCTTTGACAAGATGTCCGCCTCAGCATTCTCTTCTCGAGGTACCTGCTCTATCCGGTACGCTCCAAACGCTTTGAGCAATTCCAGGGCGATGTCTCTATACTTTTTCATTTGCTCATCCTTGGCCTCAAACTCTCCAGTGACATGACCTACTATTAGCTTGGAATCGCACCGGACTTGAATTCGTTCAGCTTTTAATGAAGCTGCTAGCCTCAAACCGTAAAGCAGCGCCTCGTATTCAGCCTCATTGTTTGAGACTTTAAACCGGAATCTAACGGAGTAGTATGCTTTGAACCCTTCTAGTGATATCGCCACGACGCCTCCCCCAGAAGCATCAGTCGCGGACGAACCATCAGTGTACACCGTCCACCAGCTCCCTTCGGGTTCTTCTCCACTAGACTCCACCTCTCTTGCTGTGCATTCTACCACGAAATCTGCCAACACCTGCCCCATTATCGCCGGTCGTGGCTTAAACTCTATCTGAAAAGATCCCAGGAACACTCCCCACTTGCTGACCCGTGATGGGGCATTTGGGCTTCAGAGAAGTGTTTCGATAGGGATTTGAGATAACACATGGACCGGATGGGCTTGAAAATATGGGGTGAGCTTTTTCACCGTGCATACCACCGCGAAGATAGTTTTTTCCATGTTCGTGTACCTTAGCTCCGCCCCTCGCAACACCCGGGCCACATAGTACACAAGTCGCTGTACGCCCTCCTCCTCCCTCACAAGCACCGAGCTCACAGCTCGAGGAGAGATTCCTAAGTATAGGAATAGGATCTCTCCGGGCTCTGGCTTCGAAAGTACCAATGGGGAGAGGAGGTATGCTTTCAACCCTTCAAAGGACCGTTGACATTCTTCGGTCCAGACAAACCCTCTGCTCTTCTTAATGGTCTGAAAGAGGAGCCGCTCGATCAGCTATCTTTGACAAGAAGCGACTAAGAGCAGCAATCCTGCCGATCCGCTGCTGGACCTCCTTCACATTCCGCGGAGGTTCCATCTCTAAGATTGCCTTTACTTTCTCCGGATTAGGCTCAATCCCTCTCCGGCTGACCATGTGTCCTAGGAACTTGCCCCCCTGAACCCCAAATGTACATTTCTTAGGGTTAAGGCGAAGCTGGAACTTCTTCATGATCTTGAACACTTTCTCCAGGTCGCCGGAATGGGACTCCATCCGCTGGGACTTGACGATCATGTCGTCCACATACGCTTCCATGCATCCCCCTAGCACCGGCGCAAACAGTTTGTTGACCATCCGTGCATAGGTCGCCCCAGCATTCTTCAAACCAAAGGGCATTACCTTGTAACAGTATACCCCGTTGGGGGTGATGAAAGCGGTCTTCTCTTCATCCGCCACGGCCATCTTGATCTGATGGTACCCACTAAATGCGTCCATAAAACTCATCAGCTCACACCATGCCGTCTCATCAACCAACTGATCAATGTTGGGGAGAGGGAAAGGATCCATCGGGCAGGCTTTGTTTAGATCAGTTTAATCGACGCACATCCGCCAGGTATCCCCTTTGGGTGCGAGGACTACATTTGCCAACCATTCCGGGTAGCGGGCTTCCCGGATGTGCCCAATGGATTGTAGGGTTGTCACCTGCTTGGTGACAAACTCTCTTCGTTCTGAGGAGAGGAAACGTTTCTTCTGCTTGACCGGCTTGTGGGTCGGATCCACTGCCAATCTATGGCAGATGATTTTTGGGTCAACCCCAGGCATGTCCTCTGGATCCCAAGCGAATAACACCTTGAATGCTTGGAGTACCTCCAATAACTGCTCCTTTAATTTAAGCGGTAAGGTTTTGCCCACCTTCACCTTCCGCTCTGGCTTGATCGGGTTTAAAGAAACTTCTTCGACTTCTTCCGCCGGCTCAGCTCGAGGTCGCCCCTCCTCCCTCT